AAATGTTTACATCAGTTTTATTCCTAATAGCCCAAAACTGGAAACAACTCTGATGTCCATCAACTAGCCAATGGGTAAACGAAACGTGGTACATCCATACCATGAAGTACTCCTTAGCTAAACTGATACAACTTGGATGAAGGTACAGGGAATTATGCTGAGCAAGAACAACCAATCCCAAAAAGGCATATACTATATGAGTACATTTATATAATGTTCTTAAAATGACAAATTTATAGAAATGGAGAACAGATTAGTGGCTACCAGGGATCAGAGAAGTGATGAATGCTAGGTATGGCTATAAAAAGGCAATGTTAGGGGTCCTTGTGGTGGGGGAAATCTGCATTTTACAGTATAAATCAATGTCAGTATCCTGGTTATGACATTATACTATAATTTTGCAAAAAGGGAAAACTAAATGAAGGGCATAAGATAACCTCTCTGTATTATCTGATATAACTGCAGACAAATCTACAATTATTTAAAAATGGAAAAGTTTAATTTTAAAAAATACATGAGTTAAAATACATTTTTTACACTCCAAGAACTATAAAAAATTGGGTAAAGATTAATTTATCAAATGGGAGAAGGGAATAAGAGTCAAAGAAACACGGAATCACTTTCTAATGACATCCCCTAAAGACAACAGAGAAAGGTATTTCAACAACATATGACATGTCAAGTCAATGTAGCCCAGGGTGGAACTATTCACAACATAGATTTTATAAAACATGGGCTAAAGGACCATTCCTCAGGAGAATGATGGATAGCCTATTCAAGCCTGTTCTATCTTTTCTTAACTGTCCCAAGAGGCATCATCTCTGGCCTGTTCCTTCTTAGCCCATGGTCATTAGGGTCTCTGGCCAAATAAGTTTGGAAAAAACAGCATACTTTATCCAATTCTTAGAAATTTACAATGCACAGGGGTGTATTAATGGCTCTGAAAACTCATGCAGTAAAGAAACTGATTTATCTTTAACACTCTGATTGCCAAATTTATTTGAGTATAGAACACTCTTGCCCCAGAACATCTAGCATTTCTGATTTCATTTGAGGAGAGCATACCTTAGGAATTTTAGATCCAGCCTGTTGCCCTCTATCCTGTTAATAAGGTGCCACAAATTATGAATAAACCCTCTTGGCCTTATGGTGAACTGACCTCAACCTGTCAATGGAGGCAGCGGACACTTGGGCTTCAGAAGGAGTGGCATTTTCTGCACCATGGAGAAAACAGAATGAAGCACCCCCTTGTTCCTCTTGCCTTACCATTTTTTGGGTGTTTGCTGCATGCCGCCACTGTGCTATGCAGTATTTAAATAAATTCCACTTAATATGCAAAGCAACCACATACCAATAGATACTGTTATAACATAGGTTTCATTAGAGAAAAAAAAGAAAACTGATTCTTAACATTGTCATAAAGTTGCTGAGCAACAGTGTGAACCCCGGGTTAACAGCCCTTAACCACTGAGCCTTAATATTTCATTACATACAGGTGGCAAGAAGAGACCTGTTTAACCAGTCCCAACTTTCACCTGATATCCCAACTGCAAAGACAGGACTCAGGCTTTACACCTACCCATTCTCTACCCTGCATATGCCTTACCCCAGCTGTACCTTAGTATGTTTCTCTAATATAAGCTCTCTCAGGCTTCCAGGCATATTCTGTTCCCTTTGTCCAGAATATGTCTCCACTCTCTTCCCCTGGCTAACTCCTACTCATCCAGTGAATGCCAGCGTAAGCTTATCTTCCTTCTGAAGTCTTCCCTGATTCTCAGGCCTGAGTTGGGAGTTCCTCTCCATGCTCCTGAAGGCCCGATTCATCCACCCATAGCACATCTCAAACCACTGCCTGGCTACATGTTTATCTCCCCAACTAGATTGTAAGCTTGGAGTCCTATGAAGTCAAAGACTAGGACTATTTTGTATATACCATGTGCCTGGGACACAGCAGGTACTCAATAAATATTAAACTAGCGTATAAATCAGTCAATCAAAGACAGAGAGACCCTAAAGTCCAAATCTCCCCTATCATTGTTTGAAGTCAGCAACCATGGAACAAAGTAATGGCTGCTTTCTTTTTGACCACAGAGGCAAAGCAGATAGGCTCTGAATGAGGCAGAGCTGGGTTGGAATCCCAGCTGTTATTAACTAGCCAAATGATGTGAAGCAATTTACTTTGGCCTCTCCAAATCTCAATTTCCTCATCTGTAAAATGCAGATGTAAAAAGTGCCTACCTCATAGCGTTGTAGTGGGGATATAACAAGGCAATGCATCATTAAGTACTCAGCAGTCTGTAGCACTTGGCCAGGGTTTAATAAATATTAGCTATTATGATCATGGCTGGTCTGAGTGCAGGGGTGTTTACAACTAATTGATCACAACTCATTACAGATTTCTTTGCTCTTCCTCCACTCCCACTGCTTCACTTGACTAGCCTTCAAAAACAGATTTTTAGAAATATTAGCTATTATGATTATAGAAAGATGAAGATAAGCCCTCTACAAAAGACAAGCTAGAAATAGTATACAGTCTCAAGTATAAGAAGAAAGAACCACGTAACATACAGCACACTCCTACTTTTATAAGAAGAAAAGGAATGAATAGTGGGCAATGGGGAAAGGTAACAAAAGCACAACTCAAAAACGCGTATTGTCGATATTCAGCCAACTCATTTACGAACCATTTTAGCATGCTAACAATGGATTAAGCAATTAAATTTCTCTAAACTCAGAAACTCAGAAATCCACAACTTTGAGATTACTTCATACATCTTCTTGTTCTAACTTGAAGCCTGTCAAAGAAAGCCAGACCTTGAGTATTTCTGTTAATAATTCCTGCCCATGCAAGTAAGTAACAGCCACAATGAGTTCCGATCATGCTCCTAGAAACTGCTTATATTCCATATTTGAGGAGATAAATGCTTAAACTCAAATACATTTTTAATTTGGTTACAACTTCAATCAATTCCAGCTGTTAGATGAGGCCAAAAAACTTACAATTAAGTACTAATCATAACTATTTTTAAATAGTGCTAATTTTATATTGGACATTTAAATTTGTCTTTGAAATTTTAACATGGTAAATTGCACTCATGACGTGGGTTTGTTCTTAGCATAATAATCATTTCCATATCAAATAATACCAAGTCCCAATTTTTTAGACTGTCATAGCGACCACTACCTGATATTTAAGTTGTAGAGAAGTTGATTCATCTTATAAAATTACTACATTATTAGAAACTTACTTTAAATTTATAAAAAAGCAAATGACAGAAACAATATTTCTTCTCTACACTACCACTTCCAAAACAATAACACAATCATTGTTGAACAACATCAAGAAAAACATAACTTAAGGAAATTTCATGTTTACTAAAGCTAAATAAAACAGAACAATGGCACCACTCATTTCTTCTATTGATAACTTAATCACGCAGTTTACATAAGCACATTTTGTTGCTGGGCAAAAGCCACTCAAGTTTTCCCACTTCAATGCCTTTACCATCCCGACTTGTGTATACAGACAACATAGAAATAGAAGTCATCCATCACGAGCATAATCCTTACTAACAAGAAAAGACAGTCACATATCCTGGGGTTAGATATTTTAGAAGATTCTCAAGACAGATGTGATCAGAAAGACGCTTCAAATTCTTTGGCAACTTTGAAGAAATGGAATATTAAAAATACTCTTTTTCAGCCAGGCACAGTGGCTCATGCCTGTAATCCCAGCACCTTGGGAGGCCGAGGCAGGCACATCGCTTGAGTCCAGGAATTTGAGACCAGCCTCAGGAATATAGGGAGACCCTGTCTCTACAAAAAATATAATTAGCCAGGCATGGTGGCTCACACCTGTAGTCCCAGCTACTCAGAAGGCTGAGGTGGGAGGATCACTTGAGCCCGGGAGGTAGAGGCTGCAATGAGCCGAGATCATGCCACTGTACTCCAGCCCGGGCAACAGACTGAAATCCTGTCTCAAAAAACTTTAAAAAATTAAAAAATTATTCTCTTTCAATAACATATACCTGAGATTTGTTTTAAAATTCTCCAGAGGCAAAAAAAAAAAAAAAAAAAAAAGAAAAGAAAACACCACCAACCACCACCACCACCACCACCACTATGGGGAAGATATTTAGTATTAGTAAAATGCTGAAAATGGTTGAAGCTGGGAAGGACAGGTACACAGCGTTCGATATATTATTCTCTGTTTTTTGCATATGTTTGAAAACATCCATGTTAAAAAGTTAAACAATATTCTCTCCATCAAAATATTCTTTCCACCTAAGCTTAAATTTAGATTTGCCACAATCTCAACCTAGAAACCATTAAAATACCACAACATGTTTTCACCTCTCTAAAGGTACAACTCTGTCACTGACACCTCTCTAAGAAGTTTTCTGCAGCAGGGCCCAATCCCTCAGCCCCTCAACATCTCCTCTCACAAACTGGAGGGAACCCCAAGTCTAACCGTAACACTAGCAGGTACTGCCTTCAGCAGGAGTTTCCCTCCAAAGCACCAACATCCTATGTAAAATGACAATGCTTTGTTAGCTCATCACCCCTTAGATGGACTCATATATAACATCTGAGAAAATCTAATTAAGGAATTAAACTAACATGAGATGAACTTTTTAAACTCCTCCATAAGACTTTATGAATAAAGTTATAGGATCAGCCACCACACACAAAATTTAAAAGTTCCATTTAACATCAAACTCTGAATATTATGAAAACAGACTCTAAGAGATTATCTAAATATAGGGGGGAATTACAATTTTCAAAATACAATCTAAAAGCCTTTGATCTTTAAAATTCAAAGTACATTTTTAATTTTTGACAAAGAAATATTCCAATTAATCTAAGACAAAATGGTCATCAGAACTTTTGAACAATATATAAAACACAGAAGTAATGCTGCATGAAAATTAAGTAATCTAAACAATGAAAAGACACTTTCATTTCTAGACATTTTAATAAAAATAAACAGTAATACTTACCAGCACTTTGTTTTCAACTTTGTCTCCCTTAACTTCCAACTTTACTTTCTTCTTCACTGAAATTTTTATCTTTCTGCCAATAACATCCTTTATGCTTTCTGAAAAAAAGGAACAGTTTCATTATGTTATTAGTAAGGAAAAAAAGCATTGGGGAGGAGTAAACATTTGGAGGAGTATATTTGGTTGTTTTTACTGTTGTTGTTTGCCTGGTTTTTTTTGTTTTTTTTGTTTTTTTTGAGACAGAGTCTCACTCTGTCACCCAGGCTGGAGTACAATGGCGAGATCTTGGCTCACTGCAACCTCTGCCTCTTGGGTTCAAGTGATTCTCCTGTCTCAGCTTCCCAAATAGCTGGGACTACAGGCACGCACTACCATGTCCAGCTAATTTTTGTATTTAGTACAGACGGGGTTTTACCATGTTGGTCAGGCTGGTCTTGAACTCCTGACCTCAAGTGATCCGCCTGCCTTGGCCTCCCAAAGTACTGTGATTACAGGCATGAGTTACCGTGCCTGTTTGTCTTTTTTTACCTGTTTTGACAAGTTGGATGGTTATCACCCATCAAGTATTTAATAAACACCTACTTTGTACCTCATACTGTATATTGATATGCTGAGGCAAACATAAAAGCATGACATAATACCAGCCCATGCAAGGCATGATATAATCTTGTTTGGAAAATAAGATACAAGAAAAAACAAAAAACAGCAAACAGTGAAGTCGGACAGTATGATGAAACACTACATTGCATGCAGAACACAACAGGAATTCATAAACTCCCTCTGCCCTTGGCTGGTTACCTCTGGGGCCCAGCAGCCTCTGGGTTCACCATAGTGTCAAACAAATATTAGCACTCTCTATGAGTAAGTCTTGACATGATGGTTGGGGAATACTGCAAAACGAAACAGAACTGGGCCGGGCACGTTGGCTCACATTTGTAATCCCAGCACTTTGGGAGGCTGAGGAAGGTGGATCGCTTGAGGCCAGGAGTTCGAGACCAGCCTGGCCAACATGGAGAAACCCCGCCTCTACTAAAAAACAAAAAAATAATTAGTCAGGTGTGGTGGTGCGTGCCTGTAATCCCAGCTACTCCAGAGGCTGAAGCATGAGAATTGTTTGAACCCGGGAGGTAGAGGTTGCCGTGAGCTGAGATGATGCCACTGCATTCCAGCCTGAGTGACAGGGTGAGACACTGTCTCAAAAAAATAAAAATAAACCAGAACTATACCAAATGATTTAGCCAAAGAAAGGCACTCCCAGCCATCTGTCCTTCCAAAATCATCACAGCACAACACCCCCAAGAAGTAGTCAAAGGCAATAGAAGAAGAAATCTGGAGACTCGACATTTCAGATGGTGGTGGAAAAGTCTTCCTAGGGCTCCCATGAGCACCTCAAAATGAACATGTCTGAAATCAAACTCATTATCTCCTACTCTGGACACTAATGATGCTGGAAACTGCTTATCTCCAACTCCTTTCGGACAGCAAGTCAGTCTCCTAAAATCTACCTCCTCCACAGCTCCTGACCACCTAGGCATGAGTGCAGTAAAGTCCATGACCTCTAACCCGTCAGCCCACCATCACCGCCATAATCACGTTGACTCCTCCAAAACTGCGAGACTCATCATGTCTCTCCCAGTCTATGAGTTGCAGTCATTTTTGAATAAACCCAAAACGCACAGCATGCCATTCAAGGTCTTTCACATTTTTTTTCAGTGTGACTTCTCAGCACATACCTAAAGATCCAATTATCCCTAATATCTTCATCTTTACACCCCTAGGATTGTGTATCTATTATTCTTTTTCCTGGAATGCCCCTTCCCTATTGTCCTCCTGGTTATATTCGACTTATCCTCCAAAATACAGTACCCTCTCGATGCTCCCATACCTCTGTATTCTGTATTACAATCATTTTGGTCTATTCACATGTTCAACAAATAAATATACATAGGAGTACCTCTTGTGTGCTACTAGGTGCTAGATAGAGATGGTCCTTGCATTTCACAGGAGTTTGCAATCTAGTGGAGGTCACGGACAGATGTCATAAATCAAATTCACACACAATGCATAGGATCATGGATTCGGAAGCACGCGAAGGTTTCAGGGAGGAGGGCATCCCTGAGCTGAATCTTGAAAGCATAGGAAATAAGACCTCTGGTTTCCAAAGTAGAATGTACAATACAATCCATTGAGATGAAAGAAGAAAATAGAATTTTCACTTCTACTTACAATGTGTGTTTCAGTTTGTGTTTCAGATTATACACACTAAATGGAGTATGTAGTTAAACAAATATATGTTTATTAAAGGGTAATCAAAATTTTCTTCTTGGAAACACCACCATGAAAGTTTAGAGCTGCTGAGATAAAGAAGAGTGAAAACGGGGAGAAAAAGACAGTGTACGCATAAACAACAGCATGGAAACCTGAGAAAACACAGCCTGCTCAAGGAACAGCAAGGAGGTGGAATGTTTGGGGCGAGGGAACATGTGGAAGAGCTCAGTGCGCTTTGAGTTCTTCACGCAGCTTCTATCTTATCAGAACTCCAAACAAGCACAGGCCACTCCTCCCTCCCCTAGAAGAATTGTGGGAAATGGGCATCTGAAATTGACTTAAGAACATATACACCTGGAAAGAGACTGGAAAATCATACACCCAAAGATTTAAAATAACTACCTCTACGTGGTAATAGGAGTGATATATATTCTTCTTATTCTTCTCTGCATTTAAATTTTTTCTACAAAAAGTCTGTAACACTTTTTTTTTTTTTTTTTTTTTTTTTTTTGAGACGGAGTTTCGCTCTTATTGCCCAGCCTGGAGTGCAATGGCGCGATCTCGGCTCACCGCAACCTCCGCCTCCCGGGTTCGAGATTCTCCTGCCTCAGCCTCCCGAGTAGCTGGGATTACAGGCATACGCCACCACGCCCAGCTGATTTTTGTATTTCTAGGAGAGACGAGGTTTCTTCATGTTAGTCAGGCTGGTCTTGAATTCCCGACCTCAGGTGATCCACCCGCCTCGGCCTCCCAAAGTGCTGGGATTACAGGCGTGAGTTACTGCGCCCAGCCAAGTCTGTAACACCTTTTAAATATCTTGAGGGAATCTTAAGGGAAAACACAGAGGTTTTAATATGGACGGTCGCCATTTTGAATTGATCAGAGCAGAACTCTTGTGAGCACTTGAATGTAGAGGAAAGCAGGTGCAGGAATTGATTCTATCCCAGCCTAACTTGACCACTGAAAGGTACAGAAAAATCATATCAGGCATAATATGTCACTCTGTTGAAAGATATATGATAGGCAATACTTAATAAAAACAAAAATTCCATTTCAAGATAAAGGTCAAATTCAACTTTTAAAATATACAAACTATTCCTTTTGAGAACCATGAATAGAAACCCAGACACCTTATTTCCACTCTATCCTTCACTCTTTCTCTTGAGTCTAAGTAATTACCTATACTTTCCATTTCCAGACTCAAGGACAACTCCTTATATAAATTAAAAATCTGCTGCCCACTTTAGCCATCCTTATCCCTTGACCAGCCAGGCAAGTCCTGCCCTAAACTCATTCTCAGGACCTCTGGAAGCATCTTCAGAGCTTCTGGCGTTTGCTTGGGGTGTTGGAAAGGTCGCAGCCTCCCAGAAGCGGATGGGTCACTCACTCCAGCAAAAGATGCAGACTCCACAGGGTTGGGGAGAGAGAAGAGGGCCTGCTGGAATCATGTAAGAGGTGTGTGCGTGTGTGCGTGTGTGTGCGCGCGCGTGTCTATGAATAACTTCATACTGTAAATTCTGGTAAAAGTTCAGGTTTGTCTGTAATTCAGCAGAAGTAGAGGCTTCCATACAAACCTAGCAACAGCCTCTCTACATCAAGTTTTACCTGCTGAGTTAACAGTCACCAATGGAAGGGCATACACAAATTCCTCCAAAGTATTATTAGCTAAAAGGAACAACAGAGGGGCAAATTCCACACATGGAGATGAATGGGTGCTCAGAACTTCCGCTTGTTGACAGCACCGATTAAACATCATCTTTGTGAGCTGTAGGCTGTGTAGTGTGCCAAGAATGGTACAGTAGGGAATATAGGTCACTAGGGCTCAAAACACATCTGCACACAGACGCACATACCTTGTTACAATACAACATGCTACCCACATATACATGCTTAAACGCTAGGTTTTCAGAACACTCTCCCATCCTATTTCAGCTCTGCCATTTTAACCCTCCAGATAATTAAGTTAAACCCCAAGACTTAACCAGGCCCGCCCCCACCACCACCAAAAAAAACCCTCAAGGTACTCAAACAATGGGTCACCTTGCACAGGGTAACACACACAGGTTCCCTAAGAGATCCCCGGTAGGGAGAATCGGTAGGTTAATCATTATTAAAATAAGGCTTTTATCATTAACCCTCTATTTCCTGTCCCGAGTCTGCGTCAGCCCGGTAACCCTTTCGCTCCCAGATGACTACACCAAGCCACGCCTTGCCAGACCCAGTCATTTTACCAGACTAGCGCCCACTCCCCGAAGTCTGCGTGTCAGAAGATCACCTCCCGCGGGGCATTTTCAGGAAGGCGCCTGACACGTGCCGGAGACGACCTACTGTGCGCTCTCCACCTGTCCTTCCGATAGGCTTTCCCGGACTTTCTCGAGTTTGGGGCAGTGGGCTGGGCGCCGTAAAGGGCTCCCCTCGCTTGCAGAACTCCCAAGTCTAAGATGGCCCGCCCCCTTCTTCCACCAACCTGGACCCCCGCGTCTGGGCAGGAGGAGGTTCCCAGGGCTCACAGTCGAGACCCCCCTCCCACCAACCTCCTGAGGACTCCCGATTCCTCCCCGACGCCTTCCCTCTCCGCACTTGGCTCTAAAGGCGGTCGAATGGGAACAAACTTCCCAGCGCCCCCCAGTGACCCTGCCCAACACCACTCTGCCCTAAGGGGCGCCGAGACTTCTAGGGACCTACGGGAAGGCAGAGGTGGGAAGCGAGGTGGAGGTGAGGAGTACGCAGAGGAAGATGGAAAACCAACAACCGCGCGAATCTTACCTATCAACTCCCTGGGAACATCAGAGCTCTCCTCGGTCATGGTTGCCCTGTAGGTGCGGGGGTTATTGCAGGTCCAACTCTGATTTACGGCCCCCTGTCCTTCCCCGAACACCTTTAATTTTTTTAGAGAGGCAGATGCAGCTTGCAAATGGGAGTGGGCAAGAAAAGGGGGGCGGAGATACAATTTTGCCGCGCGCCCCCCGCCCCACCAAAAAAAAAAAAAAAAAAAGAGTTGCAATGCGAGGCAGATTTGCTGCTGCTGCTGCTACATGACGCCTCCTCACAGTTCCCGGGGGCGGAATAAGGAGCGGACAGGATTACGAGCCGGCGCGGGTCGCCGGGCTGCTGTGGCGCCTGCTCCTCCTCCCGGCTCGCTGGTCCCCGGCGGGGCTCGGGCCGGCGTAGATCCCGCCCAGTCTCCGCGCCGCACCTACAGCCCTAGGTGAAAGCGGAAGGCGTGGGAGAGGGCGGGGAGAGCGGCGCTGGGCGGGGGGAGTAGGTTTTCCTAGCGCTCCTGACGGGCTCCGGCTGGGCGGGGGCAGCTCCGGCCCTCCTCCTTCTCCTTCTTCTCTTCCTCCTGCTTTTCCTCCTCACCTCGCGAGAGCCGGCCTCCGCACCGGTGCCAGGCCGGCCTCCGGTGCCCGGGCGCTGGGTCCCCAGCGTGGGGCTTACCCCCAGGAGAGACGCTGCGCTGTGCTGCGGTGGCGGCGGCGGGCACCGCGCCCCTCCTTGCAGCCTCCCTCCCAAACCGCAAAAGCCCTGCGTCTGGAGAGGGGGCGAGCGAGCGCGCAAGAGAGCCCGGGAGCCATCTGCTGGCTGCAAGGGAGGAGAGCCTGCTGAGCCGGGCTTTCCGATTCCTTGTCCCCACCTCGGGGCGGGCCAAGGGACCCGGAGGACAGGAGACTGCAGATTTTGCAGACCCGTCTATACGGAAGCTGGTTCTTTTTGGGACCCTCTTACGCACTTTTTGTTTTTCAGCCCTACCGGTGACGTGTCATTTCATCAGCGCTATTCTTCATTTCTGGTGAGCTAGACGAAACCTGTGAACACTAATCATGCGGTGAGAAGACACTTTTTTGTGTGCGTTCAGCGGGTGCTCTGCGGCCGCACTTCGCAATCTCAGCCACTCCCGTTGAGAGCGCCTTGGAAAATGCCTTTCACTCAAAAGTCTCTTTTATCCTCGGGGCACATTCGGGAAGCTGAGCTTTAATTACTGGAGCCTAAGTAAGCCTGCGGATAGGTCTGATCCTACCTGGGCCCAGACTCCCTATGACTTCCCTGAGCTCCATCCCCAGAGTGAACCGTTCAACTTCAGGGCCAAGAATACTTTGCCTCAATCGCTGCTTTTTAGCCTAGGGCTAGGAATGTCCTAGCCCTAATCAGGTTCTGCTTTTAAAGGACAGAAAAGGAGGAAAGGAAAGGGAATCCATGCACTTGGCCGTCTAATTTTAAACACTGCTGTTGACCTTGGATCCCTTAGAATAATCTTCAGCCCCACAGCCAGGCCTTACCACTAAGGATTTGCCAATCTGGCCCGTTCCCACCCTCCTTAACCTCTCCCACTCCCCTCTATTACAGCCAGATTCACTGTTTGCTTCCTCCTTCCTCGTAAGGTTATCTGATTCTTATCTATGTTTTCAAGCCCATCCCAACGGTCTACCTTCTTTGTGAATATTTTCCAGGGATTGTCAGATTACTGTGCCTCTAGAATATGCCTAGAATATCCCTATGCCTCTAGAATATATATTGCCTGAAACACACTTTTCTAAGCCCAACCATACACTGTCTTGTTTCATTGCTTGTCTATTTGTCTGGTTTTACTATCTAACTCTTGCATTGTCCCCTGAGTTTGGAGTTTTTCTGCCCACCTAGACTGTAGGTGAGTTGAAAGTGGGAATTTATCTTAGACTTTTGAACTTCTTCAACAGCCTAGTTTAAAGCAGGTGTTCAATAAACATTTGTTAACTGATTTTAGAGCTTTGGACCTCAGGCCTCCAACCATTCATTTCAAAAGTGGGCAATTTATTTAAGCTAGACATTTCCTTAATGCATTAAATGTATTTTTTTCTGCAATAAATGGAAATTAACATCTCAAATTGTCTTTCATTCAACCGGGTGTATTAAGGAGGGCTTTTCTGGCACATACCAATGAAGTTTCAGAAATGCCCTGAAGTTTCCAAACCATGTGATAACTTGTGAAAATAAGAACAAAAGTTTGTCTTTTTTTTTTTTTTTTTTTTTTCCTGTGGCCTGGGTGATGGAAAGAATAAAGGGAAGGCTGTATGGCAGTTCTGTAATTCAGTACTCTTTGGCTTCTTTTAAAGGAAGCTGGGATTTCAATAAAAGAATCATTTTCACTGCAACAGGATCCTGATTGGCTCCTGTATCTCTGAAGAAGTGAATTCAAATGAATCTCCTATCGCAACACTGTAAAATGACTGATTTTGGAAATCAAAGTCATTACTTCTCGGTTGCAAAACTCAAATGTGTTTAAGAATAGCAAGCAGAGAACTCCAAGGAGCACTGTTTGTAAAGCTGTAAACCCAACAAGCAGTCAACACCCCCAACACCATAAAACCATGGTGCCAGCTTAGACAATACAGTTTGCATTTTGAGATGGGTGCTTGTTTACTGAATCTACCTACCCCTCCTACTGCTACTGCTGCAAAAACAAACTTTTCTCACTCCATCCCTCCAACTTCCTCAAATTCATCCGTTTATATAGTCTTGAAGAAAAGAGTGATTAAACCCCTACATGAAACTGATTGCATTACGTATGTGATTAGCCATTACTTCATCTAAGTAAGTATTTACATGTGGCTGTATTTAAGCCATACAACTAGTACCGATAATCTGAAAGCTCTTAGTAGGATAAAACTTTTTCAGAGAATCCCTACTGCATTTGAATCTGTAAAATGTTAAACATTTAACATATAGTGAGTGGCAACATTATTTTGAAAAGTTATCCCTGGATTTTTATTTTTAATTCTGAGCATATATTCACATCTATATAGTACATTTTGTAACACATTATGGTCAGAAAACACTCTGAATAAAAAAAGTTTGCAGAAAATAGTGTCTCTAAAATGACCCAACATACTATCATTAGACCCATATCATGTAATGATTAAACCTATGGAGACAAAACAAACAAAAAAGATAAGAAGAAATCAGCATTCTAACAAAAAAAAATCACAAACTTACGTAGGTCCCTTTCTGATCTTGTCTGCTGCATTCAGAACTGGTTTTAAAATGGAAAGGTATTCAGAAATGTGGGACCCACCGGCATTTTACTCCCCAAGTAATGATTTTAAGGTTACCCCGCACCCCCAGTAACCACTGGGGAAGAGGCCTTCTTAAGAAAGTGTGTTTTTCAACTTGGTTAACGAAGATCTTTCAGGAGAGTATGCAATGTGAACTAAGCTTGCAAACACCTCTAAGAAAACTTAGTTTATCTCTGACTAGAAGACAGTGGAAGGTAAATGGCTATTAAACAGTACTCCTTTAAAGTATTTGCAAATGAAATTATATGAGACCTGAGATTTGCTTGAAAATAGCCCATGGGGATGTTGGGGGGTGGAGAGGATTGAGTAGTGATATAGACGAAATCAGAGTGACCCTCTTGTTGATTTTTGCTGCAGCTGGATATGAGATCCATGGGAATTCATTGCTTTCACTTTTGTATGTGTTTGCAATGTTTCATAACAATAATAAAACAGAACACATCCTTAACACATATGATTGAACAAAAAGGAGGAAAACCAACTCAGTCGTTAATTCAGAACACATCTGTTTGAATGTGCCACAATTAGAGCTCCCAGTTTTACAATGGTTTTCCAACTTCAGAGCACTTGAACACTTCAATAGATAACATGTTGTCTTGATTCAAAGAAACATTTTCTCATGTTAAAGTTAATGAAATCTGAATGCATTTTATAATTGGTATAGACAGTTAAAATCACGCTTCTCACACCCCATCCCCAACACAAATGCAAAATACATTATGAAATCCATGATTCATCTGGCAATAAGTGACCTGTGACAAGTGAGGAAATAAGGGTTTGACATATCGGAGCTACCCAGTGACTCCTTGGGTAAAAAGTATAATTACTATATCTTTATTACAATGAGGAAATAAGTTCACATTTGTGGAGTGACTTGCCCAAAGTCACAGCCTTAAGAGTCAAAGATTGAACTCAGAATTTGAGATTTCCAGGTAAATGTTCATTTTACTATAGTTGTTGTTGTTTTGAGACAGGGTCTTGCTCAGTTGCCCAGGCTGGAGTGCAGTGGCACGCGATCTTGGCTCACTCCAACCTCCGCCTCCTGGGTTCAAGTGATTTTCTTGCCTCAGCCTCCCAAGGAGAGTAGCTGGGACTATAGGTGTGTGCCACTACGTCGGGCTAATTTTTATATTTTTAGGAGAGACAGTGTTTCATCATGTTGGCCAGGCTGGTCTCAAACTCCTGACCTCAAATGATCCGCCAGCCTCGACCTCTCAAAGTGCTGGGATTACAGGTGTAAGCCACGACGCCCGACCCATTTTACTATAGTTTTTATGCTACTCTACAGGCTCCTAGACTAGGTTCCCTGGGAAGCATACAGGTGACCAGGGCTTGGCCCCACTCACCTACAAGGAGCTCCTTCTCTAGGAGGATGATCAAGATGAGCTTCGATCGCCCTGCAACTAGCCCAGTGCCAGCCATATAGTAGGTGAAGGAAAACTCCTTTAGAAGGGTCAATTGAGCCAAGTCCTTTTATAAAATAATAAATACAAAATATGCTAGATGTCAAAATCTGTTCAGTAAGTGCTATAGAAATTTGTAGGAGGGGGAGAGAGGAAGCACTAAAATGTGGAAAGGTTGTTATATAAATTGACTCGGCAAATATGAGTTGAGCACTTACTATTTGCCAGAGGTTATAATGGTAAATTATGTGGCTGCTTCATGCAACCCTCATGGAGCAGTCTAGAGGAGAAAGAGAGCAAGACTAAGACAAAAAAGAAAAAGCAACATCTTTTATAACTTAATCTTAGAAATGACATACTATCACTTCTGTTCTTTTTTACTGGTCACATGGATCAACCCAGGTCAATGGAGGAAGGTGACACACAAGAATGTGAATACCAAGAGTTGGGGATCATTGAGGACCATCTTAGAGAATGGCTAAAGGAGAGAGAGAGAAAAAAAATGGCTAATGGCTAATGTAGAGAAAGTAAAGGATCAATGATTAGAGTAGCTGGGAATCAGGAAGGTAAGATGTCAAGTTGGGAAGTTAAGAAAAAAATATTTCAAGAAGGGAGAAAGGGTTAACAGTGTCCTGTGCTGCTTCAAAGTCAAATTTGATAAGGAATAATAATGCATTACTTGAACTTGGTAATAAAGGAGGTATTGTTTTCTGTGGAAAGATACAGTTTAGTAAAATGACAGAGAAGATAAAGTGCCATGGGTTGAAGCACGATCAGGAGATGGAAAAGATGAAGGGAAAAAGGGAATACACATGACTCTAGAATTTTGAGGGGGACAAAAAGGAGAGAAGTAGCCAAAGGCCTCCATAGAAGACTTTCTGTTAACCCTGGAAGATTTAATACTTACATTTATTTCTGCCACTTTCCAATGAGAGAAGAATAAAACATGCATCGAGTCTCTAATGTAGATTGTGTCAATATTATTACTTGCTCATTACTTGTAACAAATGTACCACACTGATGCAAAACAATAATAAGGGACTCCGCCGAGGTAGGAAGCATA